TAGCTTTTTGGTTTACCGAAACATCTTTGGGTTTCAAATATTTTTACCCAATCCTAGATTGCCTAGATGGTATGAATGTAAAAATGCTTTCAAAATCCCGAATACTATCATTACTCTCTAAAAGTATTGAGACGCATGTTATGTCAGGCTAATATGGGAATATGGGGCTCTTATGAGGCCTTGATTGAGTCATTTTCTTCCCAAATTGTTTTACTCGCTCTTTGGGGGAAAAATTAGTATGTACACATTAGTCATTATGCACATACATAAATAATAAATATTACCAAATATGGAAAGTGTTTACATGTTGAACAAAGTTGCGGTCACTGCTTGGTTCAAGAATGAATTAAACGGTACTTAATAACCAGAAATATTAATAAACCTTAATCAATATCAAATATGTTGCGAATTTTACCACGGGAATTATTATATTTACCACGGGGAGTATACTCTGTTATATACTTAAAAAAAGAGCCAGTTTACAAGGCCGGCTAGCTATCAAGATCATTTGACGGGCAGAGGATTCGAACTCGCATCTTCAGGTTTCAGACTCGCTACCAATCCCCGTTGACTCGATAGCTGAATGTGTAGAACCAAAGATGCCATTTCAAATCCCGTTCGAGATATACGGTATAACGAATTTTTTGTTGTACTCTGTAGTGGCAGAATAATATGAAACTTTATCAAGATTAATATGATTTTACCTCCATCCAAATTTCACCCAATTAGGCTTCAGCCAAAGAAATCCTGCCTCACTTAGCAGGCTGCTCATTATTACCCATTTAGAAGAGGGCGCGAGCTCTCCTGCACTGGAACACAGCCCTAGAACCTAACTAAAACTACTTACTATATATGTGGGGTCGTGGCGGCTTGAAGGATCAAATGATCTGTAAGCTGTAGCGCAGTCGTGTCAAAGAGAAAGTCACCGGGCAGGCGCCTTTCACGTTTGAGATCGTAGGTTCGATTCTTGCCACGGACTCATGCATGTGAAAACGCTCTGGCACAAGTCGTGGGTTTTCGCCTGAGGAGGTCAAGAAGGCTATGAAAATCGTCCATATTAACTTTTCCTGTGACAGTTTCCTCCCAACTTGTATATTTTACTTTGTTTTTACTCGTAAAGACAATCATGCAACATAGCATAACATAACAATACATTTAATTTTTAAGCATGTTCACACAGCATATAATAATATACAGCTATATACAAATAGAACTATTAGATCACTTATTTAATATATTTTTAAATTCTAATCAGTCCGCAGCAGAATCATTGGTATATACCTTACGTCTTCTTCCCAGTTTTTTTAGCATTCAATTTTCGTAATCGTTCTCTTGTTTGCTGTAAAAAAGTGATTGACATTGTTGAAGTAATTGGCGACAGGTTTATTAGCTAAGCAAACTTGATAGAACAGAATCGGATATATATTCATGTACCAACCATATACCATAAATCAATTTGTTAATGATTTATGTCTGACTTGTCATGTAGGTAGGTTTGTGCTGCATGATTGTTATATAGTGTTAGGTGAACAAAACTATCTGGAAAAGATATATATGTATACTAAAACTGTCTGTACCAGTGTGGGTAGTACCAATGTGAAAATGCTGTGCTGAGTGGTTATATTACTACCTTAAAAAATAAGCAGAAACTCGACGTTTCGAGTTTCGCTCGAAACGTCGAATTTTGCTTATTTTTTAAGGTAGTAATATAACCACTCAGCGCAAAAGATATATATATAACGACGTGCGACGTCTGACGTTTCGAGTTATGATGAATGGTTGTGTAATAATACTGTAAAGTAGGCGTATAACAAAAACAAAACTGCAGTATAGGATCAATCTGATCAAAATCAAGACAATGAATGTTGGAGAAAATCATATAGAAAGAAAGAAAGAAAGAAAAGCATTGCAGAGAAACACGTTTTCCTTTCCCTATATTTATTTTTTATTTCGTTCAGTCGTATTTTCCATTTCGTTCCTGTACTATGAAACCGCAAATCTAGCACTGATCACCGGTCATCATGCCACAAACACAGCCTTACATTTCAACCAATATCCTCGGGAAAAGCCGAGACGCCGAACGTTGCACCTCTTTTAAGTGCAGTTTTTTGAACGAGACAGAAACGATGCGTGCACCTATAATATATAGATATAGTTTCCGGATAGAGATTGCAACAGTCATTGTTCAGTTGGAATGTTTTGATTTATTGACAATTTTCATAGAGTGGTGGTTTAAAACTGCGAGATAACGACCGGTGTGAGAAGTGAATTATACAGTATAGATTATGCCTCACATATTTGAGAAACGTGAGAAACTGAATCGCAAAAAATCCCCTTGCTCCATGTGAAGTCATTTCACAGGGGCGTAGGAAGCATCTCAATCTTGAATTGAGTTTTGAAACTCAATCTTCTCACCAAAGTTTCAGTGCAGTAAAAATGAAGTTGTTTGAGTTAAATTCGTGACGTGTGGAAATTAGTTTTCAGTTGGAAACCCGACAATTAAGAAAAAATGGCTGGAATTCATCTCAAAACACAAGAAAAACTATGCATTCGCCATCTTTAACAAGTTTATAGTGTCCCTCAGTGCCCCTGCTTTAACACATTCCGTCTCAACTACATTTATTGAGTACAAGTGTCAGCCCCCACAGTAGGGGGGGGGGGGGTGCAACCACTCTTCTCTGCAAAAACGGACCCAAGAGAAAATCCTGAAAAAACCCTGGAACGACATTTTTCACGCAAGAAAAGGGCACTTTGCTCCCGGAAAAAGGGCACTTTGGAAAACTTGGGGGGGGGGGCTGGCCCCCCTGGTTCCTACACCCCTGTAATTTTATACCATACAAACCTTCTGAAATTCTTGAGCTTTTACTCTATTAGCTGTATAGGTTTCTTGTCGTTGTATCTGAATTGCTTTCTGTCGTATATCGGGTAAACTTTCATACAATCTTGAAGAAAGAATAAAGTGTTTGTTTAATAACTAATAAAAAAATCTTACTTTTAGCATTATTTTGTAGGGATAAATTGTGATGTTGGAAATTCTACTATATGTTTTTGAAGATTTCATTAATAATTTGTGAGAAATTTACGATCGCGGATATCTCAACTTGTCAGCGTTCATGTTATAAGGGGGTTTAAAAAAGGAATAACTCTCTCTTGCAAAGTTTTTTTTTACTTAGTAATCTTGCTAACTGTACTAATTCATTATATATACTGGACGGTTTTATGCTGCTGTTCTCAGCGCGCGTTGTCGTTTTGCAAGCGGTTTAATTAGCAAACCTTTTAGTACGGCCTTTCATTTCCTCCTTTCCAATTTTCTGTCGACCATCTAAATAAAAGAATGACATTACGGTCAGTAATCAGTAGCCTACTTGAGCATATCTAGACTTGGATCAAGTCCGTCTCTCTAGAGTCCGAGGGAGAGCGCGAGGTGCAATAACGCGGGAACCTTGCGCGGCGCGCTCGATCTTGTCGCTTCGCGACTCGGATTCTAGAGAGACGGATTTGATCCAAGTCTAGAGCATATCCTACTTGAGCATATATCAACAATTTGCCCCGAAGCCCCCGAGTTTTGCATGATGGCGTAAGCAAACAACACGCGAGAATGACTAATCTCGTACTCGTAGTCACTGCTAAAGCTCCCTATTGTATAGGTTGGGTGGGTGGGTGGTTGTGTGGGTGGGTGGGTCAAAGTTCCAAAATTCCCAAAGTCCACGAATCGTTTTCCTACATTGTGGGTAATTGAAATGATTAATTTCAAACTTAGTCATGGATGTAGCTATTAAAATATTTTTCAAGTTTCATGGGCAAATACATTTGGTATATAAATTGTATACTTATAGGTGACTGAGGTATTACTCTGTGTCTCTGTCCTTTCACTCGGGTATGTGCCCTGAAAATAACTTGATAACCTTTACCCCCTTTTGGGATGCTAATTTTATTGTACTCGCTTATATTGTATTATACACTTGCCTGACTAACAACTGATGTTAAATAAGACCGCTCTTCTGAAGCAAAAATCTTACCTGATGATTGCTTTCCAGCAACTTTCTCAGAACTTGGTTTTGAAATAGAAGATGTGGTTTCGGGAGTTTTGTGCTTCGTTGTTTCAGGAGTTTTATCTTGCGAGTCATCAGCAGTGTCTTGTTTCTTCGTCACAGGCGAATGCAGATATCTCGCTTCCTTTGCTCGTAGTAATCTTTCCTGAGAATGTTTAAAGAACTGTGGTCGACTTTTGCGGAAAGCTTCTTGAAGACTTAAACCACTGGTTGAAGATTCGTCCGTCTGGGACAATGAAAGACTTGACATACCTGATAGGACAACGTCATTCATGGAGGGAGAAGAACTAGAATGATCATTATATGATCGTTTTTCAGTCGTAGGTAAGTCGACATGTAATCCAAACTTCTTTGAAGCTTCTGCACTGGTTATTATTCCACCTGGAGCTAGATTTCCCCAGGATTGCCTTTCAGGTGTATGTTGGATCTTTCCTGCATGAGACTGACGCCGCTCGTCAGAACTGTGTGGTGGTGTTATTGGTGGTTGTGTTACAGTTTGTTCATGAGAACGATATTGGAAATAGTTCAGTGATGTGTGTGTTGGTTGCGGGGTATAATTACCTGGGGGACTAAATGACTGCCTAGTTTCAGAACCTACAAAATCTCTCATTTCTCCATAATTGTGAAACTCTTCATCACCATGTCGAATATCTGTAAAATAATCATCAGTTCGTGCAACACGACTCAATAATTCTTCAACTTGATGCTTGTTATATTCATCCTTATTGGGAATTCCAAAGTTATGATCATCGTCCTCCAGCACTCCTTCTGATAAGTCATCATCACTGATGCGAGTCTCCTCAGGAATAACAGACAAAGCCCTAGGGGAACTGCCATAATAACTTGGAGATTGTTCGTGTTCTACTGCAAGCATTTCGTTTTCAGGTGACTGTACTCCCAAATTGAGGTCTTCTTGATTTGAAATCATCGGGGAAGTAACTGTTCTACTTCCATTTTCCCTTGAAATTGTACTCTTTTCACTACGAGCAAAATCGTTCATTTGGGTGGATTTAAAATTTTCCTCATTAGGTCCAAGCACGTCTTCTAAAAGATCTTGATCCTCTTTGTGACTTCCTTGATCTATTAATAATACTGGCTCACGAAATTTACCACCAGTGTCATAAGCCATGGGGTCGGATATATTATCACTAATTCCTTGACTTTCTGCAAGCACACCAGACGAAGATTCGTCTCTTGGTATATTATCTAAGTCACCTTCTTTAGCATCATCTTTCTTTTTTATATTTTCTAATGAACTTCTTTTCTCTACATTAACTTTTCCGGGATGTTTAGTTTCATCAAGATACTTTTCATTCAGAGCCTTTGCTTCATCAATCATTTCTTGAAAATGTTGAAAAGAGTTCTCCATGCGCTGTAGTAGTAGGTTATTATTGCTGTCAGACGCACTGCTGCCTGTAGAAATATTTTTATCCGTAGATTTAGGTAAACTGGAGATAGACAGTGGTCCAGAATCAAAACTGCTGCCTGATTTCCGGCTGGAGCGTTCAGAGCTGTGGTTGAAACTGTTCATCTCACCCGCAGTTCCTAAAAAAATAAGGAAATGGGGAATCTCAGTCACCTTGCTGTCTTAACTAGGAGCTTAAGGCTAAGCCGGCAAGTGACGTTTTTGTCAACACGGACATCAGATTGCCGGGGGGGGGGGCTGGATCTTTAACACATATGATTTTTCAAGTAAAATGCCTCCTTGCACGAGCGCTATGAGGCAAGATGCCGCCAAAATTAGTTACAACAATTTTCGGGTGACGTTCGTATTGACAAAAACGTCACTTGCTTAAACGTACAAGCATCATTTCTGTTGTCATTTCATACTTAGGCCCCATTCAAACGAGGCCAACAGGTTGGTCCAACATTGTTGGCCTTGTTTGAAGGCTATGTTGGGTAGTGTTGGATCGGGTTTGAAATTTTCATCGAACATTGTTGGACGATGCTGGACTAGTTTGAACGGGGCTTGAACCCCCGTGTAAACTGTCACAGGTGATTTTCGTTGCGATACTTATTCTTCTCTCTATGTTTGTCTTACTCATGGAAGTGTTAAACAGTTCCGTTCGGTTACAATAAACCAGTAATAAGTTAAAATACTCCAAACTACTCGCTAAGGTGTCTTATGACGTACTTTAGAGAAAGGCGTATTATATTTACGAGTCATTCATGTAATCAATTCAATTCAATTCAATTTCAATTCAATTTATTATGTCAAACTAATTTACAAAATCAATAAAAATCTTGCTGTCCACAAATAGCAAAAGCTAATCGTGGTGGACAGCAACTACACACATTCGGAATAAAAGAAGATTTCAGTATTAATTTAGTAAATACAAGCACTATTCATCACCAAAAGGCATACGATAGAAATACATTCACCATATATACAAACATAATCTCTAACGAGTGATCAAACACAAACTCTAACGAATGATCAGACTAAAATCCAAAATCGTAAAATGATTTAACTTTTAGATTATTGCGATTTCTTTTTGTATTGTTAGAATATCAATATAATCGTCTTTCTTTTCTAACATTTGAAGTAACTTTCTATGTAAGACTTTTTTAAAGTGATTCTTTGGTTTTTCACGTAGTTCTGTAGGAATGCTATTCCAAATTCTACCTCCCATTCTTGAGAATGATTTGCTTTGCACATCTAAACCTGAATATTCATGCGTCACACAGTAATCACATGCGTCACAGCAGGAAATCACGATAAAAATTGGGAACTGGCTTTAAAACTGCGATGAAACCTAATCCAGGTACTGAGTCATACTCAATAATATACAGCCAATTCAAAAAAGGTTGTCCTTTGAAAAACCTTAAACTCTAAGCGCGCAAAGCTTAATGAGAGCACAAGTTTCAAGCTTAGTAGTTGAATATTGCAGCTATTTGTGAATGAATTTTTTTCGTAAGGTGATATTTACCATGTTTCTAAGAAATGGACCAATGCATAAATTATTTCTAAACTGATTAGATGATGCTCCCATTATGCTTTGCACGCTTAGGGTTTAAGGTTTAGAGTTTAAGGATTTTCAAAGCACAACCTTTTCTGAATTAGCTGTATATAGATGTGGTTTTATGCAACATGGGAAATTTCCAAGAAATACACATTTGCATCGTCCCCGCAGCTCCACTGAATTTGGAATAAATGCTCTTCAATACTATCTTAATTAATCAAGTAGAGTAAGCATCTCAGAAAATCTGACTAGTTACGTATGCATGACGGGAAAATCTATTTCGTATATAGCTACTGTAGTATTATTATAACGACAAACTTTAATTATAGTGCATAAGTGCAAGGTTTATGAGTTGGATTGAGGTCATGCAGGCCTAGTGCTCTTACTTTTAAGGAATTATCCTTAAAAATAGGAATTTTGAAGAGTTTTAAGGATTTTTTTAAAGGAATTTAGGTTTTTGAGAATTTTTTAAGGAATTTCTGAAACATTTGATCCTGGACTAAAAACGTTTGACGGAGGATAACCACGCCACGCAAATGAGATTTTAACTTGAAAGTAGTAACATTATACGCACATAATTACATATATTCGTATGTTCTCTATGTCATAAATGTACATATGGCTGTCATTCCATTGAAAATTCTCAAAAGTTAAATGTCAGTATATGCTGTTTCTTCTGAAATCTACAAATTTCCTAAGCTCTTCATGCAGCAACGATAAAAAATATATCATGTTGAATGTTTTCTTTATGGCATTATGCTAACAATCAAATATTTTCAGTTTTTAGTGCTTATGTAGAAACAAGGTTGAAAAACTGAAAAGCAGAAAAAAACACTTTTTGCAACTATGATCAGGCCTTGATCAGTAATTTTACCAATTTAAGGAATTTTAAGGAAATCTGAGGAATTTTCGAGCTTTTTCTAAGGAATTCGAAAATTTGATTGTGAGAGCACTGGTCAGGCCTGCTTCACGGAAACATGAGGTACTTGCCCTTGATATTTTCGGAACAGGTTCATACGATATCCAAATCCCGGGCTCAATCTCACCGAAATATAATTTTTGCTTGTTTTCTGCAATCATTATAACCCACCAACAATATAAAATTTAAAGTACCAATATGTGTATTCGATATTATGAGATTAAAATGTAGAAATGCTGGTTGTATTTAAAAGGATCAATAATACATGAAGTTAAAAGTATTTAAAACATACTAACTTACCATTATTATTATTAGACAAACTTGAGCTGGAAAGTCCAAATTCGTAAACCACCTTAGGACGAGATGGTAGTTTCTTGTCAGTTTTACTGTCATCCAATGCTGACGATGAGCTCTTGGTCACATCACTGGATGACAAATGTGGTGTACTGTCACTCCACAGCCCCAGGTCTGATGTTTTTGGAAGTAATGATACATCATTATCTTTAATTGATCTCACTTCACTTGGATAGGGACTTAGGGAAGAGGACGTATCAGTTGTGGAGGATTTCAATTGTGGTTGTTTTAATGGAGGAGTAATGTTAGGATGTACATTAACAGATAAAGAACGATCCGCTGATTCTGTTCCTGATTGAGCATGATCTGTGCTAGTTGATGTGTCATCATCAGAAGGGTATCGAGTGTTAGGGATAAGAGATTTCCACTGTCCACCAGAATGACTATTTTTTTCTCCTGTTTGACCTGCAGACTTTCCTAAATCAGAATCATGCCTCTGTCCTCTGAGACGTTCTTGAAACTGTTTCAACTGCTCGAGACGTTGTTGTTGTCTTTCCTGAATAGCTTTCTGTTGCTCTCTAATACGGTTTTGTTGTTCTAACAGTTGTTGTTGATAGAAATGTAAATACGAGGCAGTATCTGGTTCTCTGTTACTGGGGAACTGGATTGATGGTCCTTCGTGTAAAAACGGTGTACTTGAAATTGAACTGGGTATGTGAAATGGACTGGTACTGTCAGAGATAGCAACACGCCCGTGTTCAACCCCGCGTGGGATATTCTCGGAATCAAGTGGAGGTTTACTTCTTGGGAATAAAAATGGTTCATGGTTATCATAACGAACAGCAGCGGCTGGTTGTTTAGTGGGATGAGCTGTGTGCGACGTAGCTTCCTTAGCTACTGAATGAGTCAACCGGGATGTAGGGACTTGGGATGAAGGCATTAGTTCTTCCGAATGAGAAGCTGCGGGAATAGCAATATGAGGTGGGGTTATGTGAAGTGATGGTTG